AAGATTTGTTTAAATGATATAAATGCATATTTGCTGAATGCTGACGGCAAACGAGAACGTATTATAATGTTTGCCTTTCTATTACTAATTATATAATACTTTGTATTTTAATTCCTTTGTCTAACCCTTCTATTGGATTAATAGACAGACTTCTATCCGTATTAGACAGAACTGTTAACGACGACAACGAACAAGGAGAATGTGAGCACTGTGTGCGCAGGCGCTGCCGTTCTCAGCGCCGTCAAAATAAAAGTCAACGCATCGGCCAAACAGAAAAACTTATCGGCCGATGCCGAAATGAAGACCAAAGAGCTGTCAAAGGATGTCAGAGACAAGATTGTAGATCTGCACAAGGCTTGAATGGGCTACAAGACCATCAGCAAGAAGCTTGGTGAGAAGGAGACAACTGTTAGTGCGATTATTCGGAAATGGAAGAAATGCAAAAACAACCATCAATCGGCCTTGGTCTGAAGCTCCGTGCAAGATCTTGCCTCATGGGGTAAGTATGATCATGAGAAAGGTGAGGGATCAGGCCAGAACTACACGGGAGAAGCTTGTTAATGATCTTAAGGCAGTTGGATTCTGCACCAAGTACTAAGTCATGTTTTGCTTGGGGATCAAATACTTATTTCACTCACTGAAATGCAAAACAATTTCTAACCTTTATATAATGTTTTTTCTGGATTTTGTGGTTGATATTCTCTCTATACATTAAAATAAACCTACCATAAAAATTACAGACCCTTCATTTCTTTAAGTGGGCAAACTTACAAAATCAGCAGGGGATCAAAAAATATTTTCTCCACTGTAACTTGTGCTAAATATTATAATTTTTTTTTTGTTGCAGTATAGGAGAAGGCACTGCATATGATATTTTTTGTATACAATACATTGCGAGCTTCAGAGCACACTGATGAAACTAGGTCATGTTATCTTATTTTCGGAGCCTGCTGTTTTGGAACGCAGTTCTGGGGGTTAATTATAATGAAGCACTTTGACAAGACTTTGCTCAAGCATTTTAGAATTACAAAACTAGCATTTCAGATGGTGTGAAATGAGATTGGTCTGTTGGTTGGTCCAGTTTTATGCTGTCCCATCGCAAATTCACATATCTTTTTTGATGCGCATTAAGGAATTTATTCAGTAAAAGTGTTTCCATCGTAGTTTATGCGAATATTTTCTTCCCGGATAAGAAATGAATCCTACCTAATAGAGTGCATACGTTTTTTTATGCACATTTTTTTAATTTACACGCATCTTGGCGTTTCCATCCATCCATAAAACTAGGTGGATGACAACATAGCAATTGACAAATCTGTCAACTGTTCCAAACATATTTCACGCTGGCCCCTGGCCATCGGGCAATCCTTTATTGTCGAGCCCTGTCTTGGATGGCCTGAGAGTGAGTAAATTTTTAGCAAATTTTCATTATTGGGTCATTTACTACTACTAATAATTAATGTTAATGCAAAGCATCATGGGAGGATGACATACACAAGTCTCTGGTGATGACCGATAATGGGACGTCAGGCAGCACCTCTTTCACCTGCTGCGCCATACGTGCTACTCGTGTGTCTTCAGCTCCTGCATTTGTGCCCAGGAAACCCTGTGCCACTGTGGGAGGTCTGGCACCTAAATCTGAAGACAAAAATAGTTTCATGTTACACTACATGACATAATACATCTACTATACAGATTCAGTGATCTAACTTAATGGATATATACATCATAATTTCTTTCTCACCATTGAATCCGTTCTTACTTGAATGTGCAGTCTGAGCGGCAGTGTGTCTTTTTCTTTTGATGTGCTCGGCTTTGTCTGCTTTAGTGATCTGTGTGGAGATCACGCCCAGCTCGGTGGCCAGCAGCTAATGAAGGGACACAATGAAACGACACACCAAAACAAGTCAAAGCTTTGAACTGGACAAGATATAGATCTGAAGGTTAGGCAGATGAAAAGCCATGTCAGCGGACAATAAGATAATGGTTTGTTTGAACATGTTCTTAATGGCAATTCAACTAAGTATGACATAACTGGAAAATGGTTTCAAATCCATTCAGTTTCAAGGCAATTCAGAAAGAGTTTACTGCTACAGAAGCATGACTCGCAGATTTTTGAACAGGCTACAAGCAGAGGATCTGTAAATGCATTTACGTGCATTTAAAATGTTTCAGTAGGACTAATGCAATAATTCTTGTAAGAACGATTTAGTCCAACTGAAATCACAACACTCTGTTTTTTGTAAAAATCTGACTAACAGACCTACACTACCATTCAAAAGTTTGGGGTCAGGAAGATTTTTTAAAATGTTTTTGAAGGTGTCATTTATGCTCACCAAGGCTGCATTTATTTGATCAAATATACAGTAAAAACAGTAATATTGTGAAATATTTTTTACAATGTAAAATGAATGTTTTGAATTTGAATGTATTTGAAATTTTCTTGAATTTTAATGTCATTTACTTCTGTGATGTCAAAGCTGAATTTTCAGCATCATTACTCCAGTCTTCAGTGTCACATAATCCTTCAAAAATCATTCTAATATGCTGATGTGCTGCTCAAGAAACATTTCTTATTATTTTCATTGTGTAATAGGGAATGTGTGTAATATTTTTGTGACACTTTTGTGATACTTTTTTCAGGATTCTTTGTTCAAAAGAACAGCATTTATTTAAAAAAGAAATCTTTTGTAACATTATAAGATGTATTTAATGACACTTTTTTAAAATCAATTTAATGCATTGATCAAGGTTGAAAAAAATCGAAAACGTCTGAATGATAATGTAAATATGATGGTAGCTCGGCTTCGTCCAGTATTTATACATGTTAATCAGACTAAAGCCCCTTTCACACCAAGAACGATAACTATAAAGATAACGATATTACCGTCCAGACCAGCGAATGATATCGTCTGTTTATTCCAAGCGCACATGCGTCTGCCATCATATGACCCCTTTAATATTGAGAACGATTTTTAGAACTATATCTTTATCGTTATCTTTATAGTTATCGTGCTTGGTGTGAACGGGCCTTAAAACTGGCCTTGACTACAATCACTGCACATTGCGACACTTTTTTGTTTAAATAAAAACAATCATGGCAAACTGCCACCATACGACATCTGAAAGAGAAAAAAATACACAGAATGCAACACAAGAATATAGAAAGAAAAGAGTTTAACCTCTTGTATTTTGCTGGCAAATTCTTGATGGGATTCACCATCTTCTTTAGACAGTGGTGGAAGCCATCTGGTTGAGAGCATTTCAAAACAATTACACCTTACATTTTTGTACAGAGATCTATTCAGAAAGACGCAATGCTTCTGAGTCTTCCTTTATTCACTCAACATTAAACACTGTCATTAAATATTAGTATCTATTTTTAAACGTCAACATTATATAAAACAAAATATTTGCAATGGTGTGAAAGTATTTACTAACCAAATATTCAAAAGGGACAGTAATGAAGTTAATATATTTAGCAACAGGCAAGTATGCACAGGAAGACTCTTGAGGCTATTAAATACTAAAAAGCTTCATTATTGTCGTATTACCAGTGCTGGCCTGTCGAGAGCAGCAATAGAGGATTGTACATTTAAAACACTGCCACTGGACAAAGGAGAGACTGTAATATGTAGTACCTTACATGGTACACTGTGAACGGTACAAAAAAGGTCCACAGCAGCTCTGTCAGCCATGAGGATTCTGGTGTGTTCTGAAAAAAAAAGAAACCAAGAAAGACCTTTTATATCATCCCAGATGTTAGTGTTTAACAGAACACAGTTATGTGCATGTTGATGATTTGACACTTATTATATACACATACTTTCACTTTCACAATGCAATCTCCCTTTCCAGTTGACAGAGATCATTTACAGAGCTTCTAAGTTAGGTCATTCAGAAACTGTCCGGGAATTACCATCACAACCATAAGCACATTAACATATGACCGCCCCATTTACACAAAACACTTATATACAGTATTGAGCATCACGCCCCATGCCATCCTGAACAACAGTGCGAGCTGCACCAGCTGTTTTCACATGCAAAAAGGTAAGCAAATCTTAACAGAGGTCATTTAAATATATAAGACTTAAAGCTACAGTAGTGGGTTTAACCTCTAAATAGCCAAACAGGTTGAAAATGGTCAGTCAAAACTAAAATAAGGAATATCTTCGATGCAAGAAAGCCTGGTATCAAATAAAAAGCTAAAAACTGTAGAATATGACTACTGTTGTACTATACAATAACATAAAAACCAAGCGATGACATGACAAACAAAACCAATCAAATGACTTTGATCAGGCAATTCATTTTTCCAGTTTAATGGCATTAAAAATATTTAATGCAGTTAACGCATGGGCAGAGCTAGGGTTGGCCACCCTGCTCACAGCTGCTGTTTCTGTCTCTTTTTTCTTGACTAGAATTGTGTTTATTTAAATGCAGAACATTTTTACAACCACATCAAATGGGAGACTTTTCAGACGCGCACTCCACTTCGCCTCAGCGTCAGGCAGTAGTCAAATGAGCGCGGAAACGGTACAGATAACGAGGGAGCTTCAGTAGAACAATGAACTGCAGTCAGATGAGATGTTGTGATGGCCATATGTCAGTAAAAAAAAAAAATGTTCTGTCCTGTCAGCCGTTAATACTGTCCTTGTAGTGCGTGCTCTTCAACTGTCCACACAAATACTGCGATGTGTGCTGTAGCCCGTTTCATTTCATATTAAAGCACAAATTAAACTACGAGCATACGTGTCAGATCCGCATCACGTTTAGCAGCGGCAGCTCTTAAATTAATAGCAGCCAAATAACCTAATAACCCATCTGCTTTGATGTCTGTTAATCAAAAAACAAAAGAAAAAAAGAGGATATCAATAACTTTTGTAGCTTTAAGAATTCATCTATATTTAATTTTGAATTTAGTGTTTGATACATTTATTCAATTTCTGTACATTTCCTACTTGCTGAAGTGCACAGGTAGCTAAATATGACATTTATTATAATGTGTTTATGTGAAGATTGTTTTAAGTTTGCTTAAAATAGAATTTGTTATTTTTTTAAGGCTAATAAATGTTAAAATTGATAGCTCTCAATTACACTGTAATGGTGTATGGCTATAGTAAAATATTAGGAGGAAAAACAATTTCATAGAGACATCAGTAGTATTGGTATCAATGATACTCGCCTTCAGTCATAAAAAAGATGGCATTAAACAAATATAGAAAATATAGTGTCTTTATGTTGTTTCTACATTACTTTGAAGATCGAATGTGAAATTATCGCAATATAAAAGTATATTTAAAAACGTTAACATTAGGTGGGATTAATCACGATTAATTTCAGAAAAAAAAAGTGTGATATTTTTAATCGATTGACAGCACTAAAAATATATAACAAAAATCGAACACATAAAAATAATTAAAATGTAGGGAAAAGTGTAGGCTTGTAACAAGAGAAACTAAGAATCTCCCAAATAATATTTTACACGAGTATAATATTAGTTTTTTTTCACTGCATAAATTGGATCGCACATATATTTCAAATTTTGCCTTGTAAGGGTGGTTTCACCACTGTAGAGAAACCACCCTTACACCTTTTAAATTTTAATATGGCCATAACATATGTGGCATCTAAAAGACTGAAAACCCTGATGCAATACAGCAGCTGAGGGAATGGATCGTAAACATACTCCAATGTTCACCCAAAAATAAATAAACCCATTTTGCAATGCTGTAATGGGAGCAAGAGGTCACTATGAGCCGATGTGTCGACATTTGACAATCCGCCTTTCTATTGCACTGTGAATCACTTATTATCAGTGCTGCTATAAATATCCTCATGTGCCACACTCTCACAAAGACCCTCTTGTGTGCTTTAACAGGAACTTGAGGATGAAAAAAGATATGGAAACTAGACACGATTGTTCAGTCACATTTAAATGTCTGGGTGGATGGTTTTACAGCGAAGCGATTTACAGAAATGACAAGAGCAGCAATGACATAAAAACTACAGGTCGGATTACATACACATTCAGAACAATCAGATTTTTGCTGTAATGTTTGAGAATTTAAAAGGGTTACAAGAAATACCTGGCAACCGCAAGGGGCACATCCATAATGACCAATCATTTGACAACAGTGGATTACAAAAGAGGTTTTGAATGTAATTACCACAGCTATGAAAGGCCTCTTCACCAGCAATGCCACAGGCTGGATGGTGTCAGACACAGCGAAAGGCCAAGAGCTGAGGAGAGAGTATAAGTTGGTCTTTTAAAAATGGCGTCTTTCTTAAAGAGAAAGGAAATGTTGTCATCTAAAAGCTAATGGCAAAGTGGGTGTCAGCTGATTTACAGGCAGTAAAGTATAAATCTGAGGATCAGTAAAGCCTGATCACATCTTAGACCCTTCAAGGAAGCTTAGAGAGGACCTGGCAACCCTCCCAGAACAGATCCACATTTAATCACCAGAGACTTACCAAGAGCCCTTACTTACCAAACATTATTTATATCAGGCACCTGACTGTCTATGCACAGTATGGTCACATTTAAAACCAGATGAGATATGACAAACAGTATTCAGGGTATTTTTACATTAAATGAATGACTGGTTGGTTAAATGAATGACTTGTTTGATATCTTTTAGTAATATTACTGTTACATATAGTAAGTGAAGCATTTAAAAAGACAGTTCATATAGTTTATTAGTACATTATACACACACACACATATATACAATATATATATATATATATATATATATATGCTGCCAATCGATTAAAATATTCAGTCGCGATTAATCGCACGATTGTCATGAGTTAACTTGTGATTAATCGCTTAATCACAATCGCTTTTAACTTAATCGCACATTTTTATCTGTTCTAAATGTACCTTAAATGAATACTTTTCAAGTTTTTAATACTCTAATCAACATGGGCATGGACAAATATGGATGCTTTATGCAAATGTATGTTTATTATTAGTGAAACCATAGTTAACATATAGATCACGAAGCCTAGACATGTTTCATAGGTCATAGATGTTTTTCAAAGAACTTGTTTGACTCATTACGACTACATAACCAGCTCTCCCTTCCAAGATGTTAATCTGCACAAAAAGCCTGATTCATAATCAAGCCGTCGTCTGATAAATTCAAATAGGCTACACATAAGATAAAGACAATAGCTGTGCTGTGATTTCGGCTATACTTGCATGTAAAATTAGAGAAGCAACATAATATCTGTTTTAACTGAAAGCAATGCTCCTCTCCGCCGCTCGCTGAACAGAGCAGGCGCAGAGAGAGGTGTGTGCACAGTGGGAAAGAGAGACCTCACGCTCGCGCGGCAGTACTGGCGAGTCTCAGAAACTAAATAATGTTTGGGCAAACCCTAAAGATTTGTCGCTAGGTGCTTTTTTGAAAAAAAATAAACAAAAAGTTGCTAAAGGGGTCTGAAAAGTTGCTAAATCTGAATTGCTACGTTGGCAACACTGTGCATCTCCAATTCTCCAACTACGGGTTAGGCCACGGGTCAAACAGAAAATGCATGCTGCGTTAAACGTACACTAATAAAATTAGTGCTGTTAAAATGAATTTGCGTTAACGGGTTATTAACATATAATATATATATATATATATATATAAGGGCTGTCAGTCGATTACAATTTTTAATATAATTAATTACATGATGTGTCGATTAATTAATCTAATTAATCGCAAATTACATTTGGCTGTGAAAATACACCCAAAAGATTATTTAATGCCATTTTTGTGTTAAATGAGCAAGTATTAAGTAGACACTATAAATAGTAGCTTTAGAAAGGAATATTTTATTTGATTCAACATAAACTATGGAACATAAAAGAAGATAATTTGAGCAACATTTTTTTTTTTGTTAATGCAGTGGAAGTCATTGGTAACCATTACCAACAGTCTTCAAAATACCTTCTTTTATGTTCCACAAAAGAAGTAAGTTATTCAGGTTTCAGTAAATGATGGCATAATTAAAGAATTTTGGGTGAACTATTCCTTAAAGTCCCCCCATTCTTTCCTTTTTTTTTTAAAGGGGTCATATGATGCGATTTCAATTTTTCCTTTCTCTTTGGAGTGTTACAAGCTCTTGGTGCATAAAGAAGATCTGTAAAGTTGCAAAGACTGAAGTCTCAAATCCAAAGAGATAGTCTTTACAAAAGTTAAGAGTCAGCCACGCCTACCTAAAACGGCTCGTTCTAACACGCCCCAACATACCTACGTCGCTCTGTGGGAAGATTTGCATAACGCCGCCCAAATCTTCACGCAAAGAAAGAAGGCGTAACTTTTATTCTCGCTGTAGTATTGTTGTTGCCGCCGCCATGTCGTGAAGGCACTGTGTGATTCGTTGTGAAAGCGAAACTACTTTGTTTGACCTTCCAAAAGAGGACGATATCCGCTTCGTCATACCTGGAGCTGATCTGTGCTGGTCGCTGAGGAAATACATCAACTTCGCGCGGTGGATCGCCGGATCGGCTTTCATCGTGGACGAAGCGGAGTCCAGCCCGCCTCAGCTCACTCAATCCCGGCCTCAGTGCACACTAAGCCGGGGCTTCCCCTCACGCTAGGCCGCTGTGTTTTTCGTTGCCACTGATGATTCAAACGCGAGTTTTGGGCAGTAGAGTAGCACTTGTTGTTTGTCATTTCTCCGATCACAAATGCAGACAAGAGTTTTATGTTTACGCGGCGCGATGCAACGCAACGCGTAAAAAGACAGTACAAGTCATTATAATCAGTAATTATGTCCCCACTGGATGCAACAAATGCCTCGTTTGTAATGGGTTTTAATGTTTATGCCTCGTCGCTCCGGCTGGACACGGCATCAGCAGTATGTGAGGGGCGTAACATTTCCGTCTCACGCTTGAGGTACTCGGCCAATCACAACGCACTGGATAGCTGGCCAATCACAGCACACCTCGCTTTTTCAGACCGATGAGCTTTGTAAAAATCGACGCGTTTCAAAAAGGCGGGGCATAGAGGAGAAACAATAATGTACAGTATGTGGAAAATAATGTGTTTTTTTAACTTTAAACCGCATAAACACATTTCATTACACCAAATACACAAAATAATGTTCTTTTTAACAGCATCATATGACCCCTTTAA